AACTCACAACGATCCTCCTGCCTCAGCCTCCCGAGGGCTGGGATTACAGGCGTGCGCCACCACGCCCGGCTTCAGACAGTAATTATATATATAATGAAATCAATTCATGTAAAGCACTTAGCAGAATGCCCGAGCACCGCTGGCTGTGCTCCCTATCCGCCGCCGCACGGCTTTAGGCGCTGGCTTGTGTGGCGCACGGCCGGTCTCCGTCGCCAGAGGCAGCAGCGAGTTCAGGCCGAGGGAAGCCGAGTTCACGCAGGGTCAAACCGGGTGAGGCGGGTACCAGACGCCGTCTGCAGCTCCCGCGCACGCCGCGGACACGTGAGCGCAGAGTTCTGGCGCAAGTGAAGCACTCTGAGTCCTCTGCTCCTGGCGCAGAGGAGGGCTGCCCTCCCTGCCCGGAGCACCCCTCTCTTTCCCTTCCTCCTCGTGCTAAAGCTGTGCCTGCCTCCGGAGCCAGCGACCGCCTGGCTTTACTCCAGGACGCTGCCAGCGAGTTGGAAGAGAAGGGGTAGGAACGGTGCGGGAGGCGGGGCGCAAGGGAGAAACCCAGGAATTCAGGGAATCCCTTTCCCGAGATCTGTGCAGACCTTCCTCCAGTTCCTCAGGCAGCCCAGCCGTGATGAGAAGGCGGGTTTAAAGACAGCCTCCAAAGATGTCCTTACTTCATGTGCTGGGAGTGAAACCAGGACCTTCTCACTGACCTACATTCCCAGCTCCCTCTTTATTTATTTATTTTTTGGTTTTGAGACAGGGTTTCCTTAAATTACTCAATTGTCCAGGCAGGGATACTGATCCTCCTGCCTCAGCCTCCCAAAATTATGGGCATATACTGCGAAGTTTGCTTTTAAAAAAATTTAAGTATTTGGAAAAGTCTGTAACAAGTGTAGAGAAAATCCAATAAGGGGAGGAAGAAAGGATGGGGGAGAGAATGTAGAAGGAAGACGAGAAGGAGAAAAAGGAGAGGAGAAAGAGGTGTAGTCTGCCACCTCCTGCCTGGATAAAGGAATTGCTGTTTCACTGGGCTGTGCTTTTCCTCCCATCGTCCTCCTTGCTGCCAATCAGTACAGCCAGAGGGTTCTAAGGAGCAGAGCCCATAGTCAAAACCTTGCAGTACTTCCTGACTCCCTCCAGGAGAGTCTTGCTTTCTTCCTTTCTTTTTCTTTTTTCTTTTTTTTTTTTTTTTTGTCGTTTTGAGACAGGGTCTCACTATGCAGTTCAGGCCGGCCTTGAGCTCACTTTGTAGCCCAGGCTTGTCTCGAACTTGCAGAGATCCTGCTGCCTCAGCCTCCCGAGGGCTGGGATTACAGGCGTGCGCCACCCATTCAGCTCCTCTCCCAGGTTCCAGCCACAGCCTCAGATCAGCCAGGCTGTTCCCTAGCCCGCCACACCTCTCCTGTTCCAGCTCCCTTGCCTGGCCAAGTCCTGTGCATGCTGCACCTGCCCCAGGCTCCCAGGCCTTCCCCAGTGCTCCCGCAGCCCCCTGAGGGCCTGTGATGACAGTTGATCACACCAAATGGTCCAGGAAACAAGATCAGCCCCGGAAGAGCAGCTCCCATCTCTGGGACAGGGGAATGCAGACTTGTTAGGATCCGAACCCAGACGACCCACACCTTAGGGTGGAAGACGGTCTATTTGGAATTTGCCACCCGATCTCCTCCACTGGCGTAGAAAAGTCATTCAGTCACTGACTTGCACTCACTACGGGCAGGCCTTAATAATAATACCTGACACTTGAGTGACGTTACTTCCTTGCCTGGAACAGTTCTAGGCACTTTCCATATATCAATTCATTGTATCCCATGTAACCCTAAATTTAATACTGTACATTCTCACTAGTATCAAAATTAAAGCACTAAGCAGTTCCTTAACCTGCCTTAGGTATTAAAGGGCCAAGCTGGAGTGGGAACTAGGCCGTCTAGGTTCCCGTCCAGAGCTGCAAAAGGGTGGGACCTGAGTCAGGTAGAGTTTGATCTGTGTGCTTTACGTCTTCCTGCTATCTAGCATTTTGCTCCCAGCTATCCCATTTTATTGAGCAGAAGGTAGACTCACAGGCCACAGGTTATTTCGGGAGCCTCGTGGAGGGAGGTCCAGGAGCTGGGGTACAGCAGGATGGGCTGGAGCAGGGTGTACGTCCTCAGCGCCGAACTACAGCTCCCAGGAGGCTCCGCACGCCGCGGCCCGCCAACGTCACCGCGACAGAGGGCGCCGTCGGCTCGGCTAGCCCAGCCGGTCGACGAGGCGGTTCCGCTCGGACCCAGGCCCCGGTCCGGCCTCGAGGTAAGTAGCGTCACCCGGGCAGACCTGCGGGCCGAGGTCTGCAGCCTCCGCCATGCCTGGGGGTGCTCCTGGGCGGAGGTCTGCTTCCTGCCATATGGGGGGGGTCCGGGCCGGACCGAGTGCCCTCCGAGGGGGCTCAGACAGGCGCCCTCGGGCTGCAGCTGCCCTGCGGCGGGCTCCCCGCTGCACCCCTGCCAGCGGGCGCCCCGCTCCCGCTCCCTGGCGGCCGGCCCACGCGGGAGGG